GACAGGCTTTCGTGGAGGAGGGAGGAAGGAACTCTGAAGAGAATGAAGAGAGGGAGAATAGACGAGCACTTTGAAGAAAGAGAGAATCAGAGTTCAACATGGACGACGCAATTGATAAAAGCAGCGCCATATACTTGATGATGMGCTCRTCTAACGACTAAACGAGACAAAATAGGAAGAGAAAAATATAAAACAATAAAAGAAAATTAATACACGAGGGGGCTATCATACTAACAAATTTAACAATAATATTGATAACCATAGATGAAAGTTTCAAAAACCRGCAATACAAAAATCGTGAAAAGAGCTGTATAATAAATTAGAACGAAAGGGATTTTTGGTTTAGAGTATTCGAATATAAATTAAAATAAAATATTGCGTATAAGAGATAAAGACATTTCGACGGATCGATCTGGGATTTTTGTTACCTAGAAGAAACATTCCAAATAAAGTACATGAAAATCAATAATGAGGGCAAGAAAATTATATATCCGACTACAAAAGTTTCAAAAGAAAGATCAGATTATTGAACCGAAATTGGGAAATTTCAAAACTAGGATGAAACAGCCCTAGCTACCTAGGGTAGGGAAAGTAGGGCATGCGACATTGTTGCGCGCATAGTGGGGGGAGAAATTTGCTGAAACGCGCGACAAAATAGGGAAGAAAATTTTGTTCGTGTGTTGCGAGAAAATATTACCGGGATGAAAGTGCTTTGTGTGACGTACTACTAGTCCTACTAGTAGTACTAGTACTAGTACTAGGTACTAGTAGTATGTGTGCCCTGGGAGGGATCATGGCCACTCCCCCCCTAATAGATTACTCGTATTGCAAGTTAGCTATCCCCTCTGTCTGATTTGCTGAGCCAATTCAAAAGGATTCAGTAACTTGTTTAGTGCTGATACAAAGAACAAGTGCAGTAGTATGATTAATTTTTTGTGCCTGTGAGCACCTCGATTGAAGGAGCAAGGCTCTTTGGACGTCTGGCAGTCTGCAGCAAATGATCAGGAGGGAATGACCAATTTGGGAACACGTGGTACAGGTACAAGTTGACGGCCACGTTTCGCGAAACCTTAGGTCGTCCTAATCCTCTCGGCTGTTCTTTGTCTTTCCATTTCTTTCTTTTTTGGAAAGTACCACCAGCTCGGACATTTCTGTACGGTAAGTACTCGTACATTTCAAATTACGAACTACGGCTTCGCAAGTTCCGAGAGACTTCGTCGCAGAAGACGATAAGTAGAGCAGGGGTCATAATTATGACCCCTGAACAAGAGTACGTGCTGGCAGGTTGCCAAAGCTTTTTGCTCATGTAGTATTAAACTCTGATTCATACACAAGAGCTATCATCATGTTAACAACTTATAACAATTTTATTTTCTAAGCCCTATCGTGAGACTCAAGCGCTGTGATGGAGACAAGCGCTATCATGAAAGTGGCATATGTTTTGTAGTAGCCCAAAGAAAAAATTGTGACTGCCCTCTTGTCGAAGACAGATTCTCAGAAATGGACCTTCTTTTTGTCGATAAAAACAAAAATAGTCAAAGTGCGGAAAAGATCAATTGAATTCCCTTTCATCTTTCCATAAGTAAATAATGTTTATCTCGATAATCTCACATTGCCTATATATACTTCTTCCAACGGAATTCCTTTAATTATAAGTAACTTTTTGCTCGTAGAACTTCATCGTATGTTGCTGAGCATTTGATAAAAATAAAACTTAAGTAGAAATTAGTTATGAATTCTGGGCTGGTTAAATGAAAATATTTCCTTCTCCGTGAGACAGTAACATTGTTGTTCGTTCAGCTTCGTACAGCGCGAGGCATCGTACGGTACCGCACATCGCCCTTCAATTTCTCTTGTAACACTACGTATTTGTCCACTACAAAATTCGGTGAAAGGATAGCTGTTTTTTCGTGCACCCGCATAGTAACCAGTAGATCTCATTGCATTGTAATCAGAAAAGGGATTGAACTTCTCTTTGGTCCGGAAGAATTCCAACACAATACTAACTTTACATTCTCTACAAGAATAGCTTCAGTTCGTTCCAGCATGATGGCTATCGCCCTTGTTGCCCTCCTGACGGCCTTGTCTCTGACAACGGCCTACGCTCATCCTGACAACCCAAAGGTGCTTCGTTCCCGTAGTGCTAGAAGGCTAAATAGCCCAGTGCCCGTGCCAGAGCCCAACTATGTGATCAATCTTTTGAGCGAAAGAGATGATGCTACCCAGAACGATTACGGCGATGCTACATTCGATGGCAACCCGACTTCCATCAAATTGGGATTGGACTTCGAGGTTGTGTATGTGGGGACTACTGATTCCCCCTCCACAAGTCTTGAGTATCGTGTCGGTGTGTACAAATACGGCGACTGCAGCGGAGATGAGGTGTTCGGTGCTACCAATGCATTAGCTGATGCATTCGCTGATAACAAAGTGAGTCAAAGTATCGAAATATCCTTAAATTCTGTAGACTCATCAGAGGGTGGTGAAACCTACGAATCCCTTTTCTGGGTAAACGATGCTGACGGGAGTACGCGCTATGTCGACGGGAGTATGCGCGTGCAGTTTTGCTTCCGTGTGTCAATCCCTTCCGATCTCGATACTGTTCCGTTTGAAGCTGATGCTTGGGTGAACTTTCCGGAAACCTACGATGCGAGCTTTCGATTGTCGAACAGTGTTCAAAATTTGGCGAACCAGGATACTTGGAGATCTTCCATCACTGTGAATCTGCAATACACGGTTAGGTCTTGCCTGTGCAATTATGTTCCTGCTGATAATCAAGAGCCTGAAAGATACGAGTGCCTTACGGAGAGCAAACTGTTCCGACCCGGAACCACGATCCAGATGTGCATAGAACCGGGACATTTGGTCAAAAGTGAAGAGGAAGAAGTTGACGACGTCAACACAGGTTCTTTAGAGATCGAACGAGTCACCGAATTCCACATTATTCAAGAGCCTGCAGAAACATCTGGAATGACTGTAACACGCAAGGCCATCGATGGTAGCGATGCAGATGGACTGACTGTGGTCGAATACAAGAGCATGGCCATTACACCTCAGGACGGCTCCAGTCCCAGAAAGTTCGTGGGAGGTAATGCACCAGGAGCCATCCAGATTGCCGTTGTTAGCACCCCCCTCAACGCAGCATTTTTCTTACAAGTTGAACAACCGGTTGACGTACATGGTCAGGTCTTGTACAGAGATAGCAATCGCCGCAGTCTTTTGAAAGCAAATAGCATGTATCTAAGCAGTTCCACCCTCGCAGAAGGATCCATCGAATCAAATACCACAGAAGGACTTGTGCTACCCGATGTACAAGTTAACCTGATTGGGGAAGAGAAGACCGTGTCTCACAGTATAAACACCAACCCAGGTGGAGACTTTGACGTGAAGTTGTCACTTGATGAATCCTTCAAATTGAATCCCCAATTCGAGCACTCGTCGTCTACTTTGATCCTCGGAATCATGATTTGTGGTATTTTGTTGGGTTTGATTGCAATTCATGGAATCCTGTACGTGCTCGGATTCCGAATGACCTCACCTGGCGTTCGGCGCGTGGGATATCGCAGTCGAGGAACCTACGGTAAGGACGATATCTCCTTTTGCAGCAGTGTCAATACCTTCGGTGCGATCCCAGCAACCTACGGTAAGGACGATATCTCCTTTTGCAGCAGTATCAATACCTTCGGTGCGATCCCAGCAAAGCATTAGATCAAGGCAATATGGCAACGAAGACGAACGAAAAGCCTTTTCTATGTAGTTACCCTCTTCATAACGGCACGAGCTTTGTGCTCCCAGCAGAAAAGGTATCCTCAATTTAAAGGTAGTTTATTTATGAAAGTGATAGATTATTTTATTCTATGTTCACACGAGATTGTTTGCTAATGCCCTCTTCGACTGTATGGGTCTAGTAGTTATGACAGAATCAGATCTCGTACACGTGCCTACAATCAGCGTTCTTCTAAAAGTCAAACCTAGAATAGAAAGGGACCACCTGCTGAATCCATACATGATATGCCAGCATACGGAAAGTCATCACTAAAATCATACTTCGTAATACTACTACTGCATTCGAGTATCTATTATCACCATAATCATGTGGGCAACATGTCACTGCCTTACACTGGATGCTTAGAAACAATTGGTTCACTAAATTTCCATTGGTCAGTTGGATGGTCACGCTCTGGGTTCCCCAACACACTCCTGTGATCTTCATCCAGCAGCCGCAGCATGGTTCTTTGCTCCTTGTATTGCTCCTTGATAAAATCATCCTCCATATATCAGGACTCACTGGCCTAGTAGGACCCATGGCATACATTGCACAAACAACCAAAGAAATTTTGGCAGCAGAGCACCAACTCCACCTCAACACCGAAGCCACAACAATCCGCACAGCCAATATCCTCAGAGCAATTTAAACACACCAATAGTACCACACACCATGTATGAGGTAATTAACATCATCAATAGTCAAATAAAAGTCCTCACAACCCTTTTCACCCCCCACTGCCCCCTAGCACTACTAGAGCTCAAAAAAGTACACGGCATCCTGCTCCAAGCAAACAACACATCCCTCAGCAAAATAAACAACTTCCAATGGGACATCGCCACCAAAATCCTCTGGCAACTCATCCTCAGAACCAAAAGATTCTTCTTGTACTGGGCAACAGAACAAGACCTCCACTCCAATAGAACATCTAATCCAAACCTTGACATCCTCACCAACTCCATCGCTAGTGGCATATTCCATAGGGCCAGTCACAAACACTCCATGTTTTGCCCACTTATTTCAAAAGAGATCAAACCATCCCACCAACTTGACCCCCAAACCAAGCACTTGCACTCTGAATGACGCACAGAGGACTGCAGAGAGGATAGCACCCCACACAAAAGAACTCCCATCCGCCTGCCACAAAATCATCTCCACTCACAAGAAACCAAACCAGCGACTACCCAAAATAGCATCAGCACGTACAAACTGTGCAGATGATGCAACTTTTGCCACAAGATTTGGTATTGAAGCCACTGATTGCATCCACTACCACTTTTTGGTGTATGCAAATCCCCACAGTGCTGTTGCAACCACGATGCCAAACACACCTCAGTGGACCATGCAGCMGTGTTTGGCTTAATGTACTGCAAATACCCTGCCACCCCACTCCTCCAGACATGGGCAACAACTGGATGCCCTGCTCTTAAGTGTAGCGCTAACTGGGGCACAGATGAAATCAAGGCCGCCATCCACTGTGGAGCACACCCCAGCGCATGTGTCCCTGAAGTGTCTGGAGCCTGCCAAGACAAAGCCCTTGCACGTGTGGTAGACAGCTGCTGCCACATAGTAAACTGGACAATCATCAAACATAACCACCCCAAAAATCTCAAAGTCAGCCCCATCACCGCAATCCCTCACAAATCTAGGGCGTATAGAATGATCCAAGACCTATCCTTCCAGTGAAAACTCCCAACCCACACTATCCCCTCCATCAATGCACCTTCAGACAAGACCCTCGCCGTGCAACATGCAATGTTCAAACTCAACTGTGTGGTGCCCCAGCTAATACACAAAATGGCCCATGTACCCCCTGGCATCCCCTTCCTCTTCTCCAAACTAGACCTCAAAGATGGATACTGGCGGATGGTAATCGCTTTTGCACTACCATCAGCCCTCCAACCCAGTCCAACTAGTAGTCATAACCCACTCCCTAGAAATGAGTTGGAGCAAAAGCCCCCCTTTCTTCTATGCAGCCACTGTGACATTGCTGTAACAACCATCAAACAGCACGTCCCGCTCTGACCAACCCAATGGAACAAAAGATAATGAAATTCCACTTGCATTGCCTACCACTTGACCCACCAAACACCACCATCTCCACAACCCTAGAGGTCCACATAGAAAACTTCATCACAATGGTCCAATCTAATGACCCCACCCACTTCCACAAAGTAGCCAGGCACCTCCTCCATGCAATTGACAACACTTTTTCCAGCCCCAACATCTAAGGAAGTGCAATGGGCCCAGCAGTATCAAACAAGAAGATCCTGCTCAAAGGCAGGTGTAAGGAAGTCCTGGGGTGGCTCTTTCATGGCATCAACTGCACTATTGTATAGGCTTGGCCAGAAATTGTACGGTATAGTTGTATATTTTGGGCCCTTATTTTTCCATGTAATGACTACTTTGACTAAAAAACTAAATACATAGTACTCATAGTGTTGAATTTTTTAATCCCACATCTGTGCGACCAACTAGTTTTGCGCACACGTGCTGTTTGTATTTGCTCGCACTTACCCGGTAGCCCTAGTAGAAGTCAATTTTCAATGGCATGAGTCACTACAAAAGAAAAAGATAGCCAAAAACCAACTTACAGTAGAAAAACATGTAGAATGTTAACTAAGGGTCAACTCATTTGAACAGCTAGTTATAACTTGGTCTCCAACAGGCGCTTAACAATGATAAGCACATGGATCAAATCCCAGTAAAAAGATGAATTCAGTGATATGGGGGTTATAGGGGTTATTGAATATTTAGTTATATTACTGTACAAATATGGAGTATTAAAAATGTATGATTAAATCAGCTGGAAAAACGTAGCCAAGCCTATATGGTACGACTCCCAGACAAGAAGCAAGATACCATCCTCCAACTCCTTCACTCCCTCCACTCTTCCMCCATAACGCACACAGAAACATTTGAAATACTCCATTGAAAACTCCAATTTGCATGCATTGCCCTTAGCCCAGCTGATCTCATCTTTTCCCAGGCCCAAAAAGCAGCGGCAACAAAAATCAAGTAAAACAATGCTGTCACCACCTTGGTCACAGATTGGATTGTACATATTAAATTGGCCAATGCCAGACCAACACATGTCAACAAACTCATCCTGCACACACCCAGCTACATTGGCCTTGTTGACGCCTCAAGCTGGGGTGTGGGGGGCGTTTGGTTCAGTGGCACACACCACCTCACACCCTTTGCCATCACAGTGGCACTCTGCTCCAAATCCAACTCCATGGGCCACCTCTCGATATGCAACCTTGAACTTGCAGGCATTGTACTCCACGTGCTAGCACTCACAGAGTACATTTGCTGCCACAACAACACCCTCCATCACTGTACAACAACCATCTGGTGTGACAACCTTGCCGCGTCCACTGGACTTACCATTTTGTCCAAACATGGCAGCCAAGCTCCTTCATGCCCTGACAGTCAACACACAGCAGCAAGAAGCAGCACTACTTGACATCCGACACATCCCAGGACAACACAACCGCCAAACATGCACTCAGGGCCATCACCACAATGCTCCAACTGGCTGGACAACAAAGCCCGATGGGACTACTGCAAGAAGCCTACCCTAAACCCCTTCAGCAACTTCTGGCTAGCTATGAACACAGCAACCCTCCGCCACAGCCGCGCCTTGTAGTCCACTTGCCCTCCCCCTCCACCTCAAAAGCAATTGGAGAAACAGCATTGATTGCATTTTTCTTCCTCCTCCGTGTGGGAGAGTACACCGTGCCAACCACTCAAACCACACAACAGACCAGCATGAAATAACATGTACTTGATTTGTTGGAATGTTTTAGTAGGAGTAGTGTTTACTAGATTGTTATCTAATCAGGATTGTGAGACTAGTAAAACTAATGAATAAACTCCTGTTAACCCAAAGAATCCACTTGTTACACAATCTCTTGTGTTGTAACTGATTCATTGAGTTATAATTGATAGTAGAAATATACATCAAAGCAGTAATAATCAAGTGTGAGCTCATTTCCATAGTTCTCTGATTACATAGATCTCAGTAGTGATTCCACTGAGTGACTTTAGAACAGAACTCCCAATCAAATAGTTCTGTTCTGAATTCTCCTTCTCCTTCTTGTCGTGAGGACAGAGGAAGAAGATCTATATACATATATATACTGATCTGTATATATATATATATACATATATATATATATATATATATATAAATCAGCCATGACCCCCCCCCCACAGCAGGCCCCCAGTGTCAACCCTTAGTACCTCCAGTTCAAACAGCCAACCTTGGTGATGCACTGTGTCTGAAAGTCACAGCCCGTCCACCCACAAACCAGGGCACTTGCAAACCAGTCACCAACCAACCCCTTTGTACCTTCCCACCCTCAAACCATATTTTTTCCAGCCTCCAGAGCCATCAGACAAGCGGCAATTTGTGCCATCTTGAACTCAGCCCCAGCAAACATCCGCCCACACCCTGCCAACAAGGTAGCCATCCTCCATAAATAAACTTTGAAGGTACCCTGGCCAACCTCTATGATGCCATAAACAAAAACCTGAAGCTCCTTCCTGCTGCCAACACCATCCCTTGCGTCAGAGACATTGTAGCCCAGCGATAGTGCATTGTTTGTTTGTAAAAGTATCAGATTTCATGAGAAGCTTTAAGAACTGTCAAAGGTATAATTTACTGCAGTGTGCATCAGTCTTCTAAAGTGAGATGGTCACAATTCTTGAGTGTGGGAATAAAGGCAAATGTGCAACTGCACAAATGTGGGATTTAACTTTTAATCTGTGTGTGAGAGTTAAAAGTGTAGTGGGAGTGTTAGCACCAAATATGTTTTGAAAAATAAGAATGTGTGTCTTGAATCAAGATTTTAGATTTCAAACAATGGCAGAAAATTTGGAACGTTGACAATGGTGACTATGGTGAAATGATGAAGTGTAGTTTTGTCTCGGTCAATGAATGTTGACATGTCCGTAGTAGTCATTGCTGTTTATGTGCAATGACAGTTTGCTGTTCAAAGGCTCGTGACAGTTGCTGTTCAAAGGCTTGTGGGGATTGTATGTGGTAGAGTCATGTGAGGAGAGAGCACACCTAAAAAGTCTCCACAATAATGGTGATTTTTATTAAAAGGGTGTCAAAACCTGTGGGAGTGACTATCTAATAGTGATGTAAATTGAGTGCTTGAAGAAAAGAGAGTTGATGCTCTTAGTATCAAGGATTGACAAACTATGAAATCTAAAATTGAGCAGAATGAAGATTGAGTGATGTGTGAATCAAATGAGTCAAGTCAGTCATGTGAGTGAATCAGACAAGTCAAGTCAATCATGTGGATCAAATAAGTCATGAATGAAGAGTGTGTATGGATCATTGATATGTATTATATGTAGTATGTGTCGTAGATATGAATCACACCCACAACCTGATATTTTACGGACAGCATCTTGTTCCAGCAACCAGCAACAGCTAATCAGCCCCCCCCAAAAAACACCATCAGCACCACTCCCAAACACTAGTCAGCAGCACTAATCAGCAACAGTATCTCCAGCAGCACTCCTATCCACAACAATGTATCAGCAACAGTAATCAGCTATTGACAACAGCAGCTATCAACGATAACCCCAGGCTCAAGTTTGAGGTAGGGTCAGGCAAGTACAATGGTCACTATCTTCCCTCTGAATACAACAAGCCTGTTGAAGTTCCTAAGTGCTCAGCTGGTCTTGACAAGGAACCTACCTAAGAGCATAAGGAGACCAGATGGAAGTTCCACTATCTTTGGTGGGATTTGTCCATTGAAGATCCTATCAATCTGTTTGGAAGGAAGTTTGCTACAAGGGATAACAAGTTTCCAGAGGAAAGGAAGGGGAAACTGGATATCTTCAGTCTACAGCAACATATGCTGCCAAAAGAGAGGATTGAGAATGAAATGCTTTCTTTTTTATCTGTTGCTGCTCCCAATTGCTTCAGATTTAAGGGAGGCACAGCAATATCAAATTGAACCATAGAAGAAGCACAGCTATTACAACAAGGTCATGCAATATACTAATGTGTACATCTCTGCTGCCAATGAAGGGGAAGGACATCAAATTAGACCAGTTACATTGCCTGGAGCAGTTCAGCTTGATGGCATCCTCTTTATGCATGGGGCTTGTGAAGGAGCAAGTGACAACATCACATTCAGATGGGATACAACAGACCTTTCATTCAATGAGGACATTGCAAACACCATGACTCTTACCGGCTGGCTTGACATTTAAAGGAACTTGAAGCTTTGCAAGAATGATGTGGAAAGGCCCTTCCATGGACCCTCAAAATGGTGGTAACATGGATTACAATGTGGCTTACAAATTTGGATTCATCTACAAGACTATCATCAAGAACACCACCAACTATTTCACTGAGAGAGTATACTTAGAACTTTGCATTCTTGATGGGACAAGTTGGCCTCATTAAGGTCATATCGGTGTCCTCTTGTGAACTATCTAAAGGAAAAGATGATTACCAGGGAAGCACTTGATATGATCAGGACAAGAGCATGGAAGCACAGTAGATATTGTGGATGGAAGACTGAAGATGAGAGGCATTCCTGTATTGGCCCTGCTGAAGTGCACCACATTGTTGAGAACTTTGTTCTTGGTAACATGATAGGATAAGGGAAGATTTGGAAGTCACCTCCTGCTCATATGACAGCTCATAACTTCTTCCTCTCAGACTCTGTATTGGACTGGATTGGTGAGCAAGGATTAGGTACATTACAAACTATGGCTAATAACAGATTGCTAGCTAAGTTCTAGGGAAGTACTTTCATAAGAAAAATGCTACTGGCAATTCAAATGCAAGAGGAAGAGCCAATGCCTCCAGACTTGCCAAGTCAGTGACCTTGGTGCTGAAGACTGTGGAGGCTGATCCTGATAGAGGAAGAAAAACTAACAGGAGAGTCCACTGCTCTTCTCAAAGCACTGGCACTTGCAATCATGATGTTGGATCTTGAAACTCTATTTCTTCTTTGTATTTGTATATTCACCAGAAGGAAAGATGGTGCAGAGCTGCCAAAAGGATGTGGGGGATTGAAATGAATAGGCCACATGAGCTTTACCTTTACACCCATCATGTTAGGCTTGATCATATTGATGCCTACATTTCCAGAGCCAACAAGATTGGTTACAAATCCTAGAAGTATTACAATGCAGAGCTTTAGCAATTGTAACAGCTTATGAAATGTACAGGGAGTGCACTGATGGGAGCCTTGGGGATAAGTGAAGGGTGTCCAATGTGATGAGCTATGGTGCAACTGTAGTAATAATAGAATCAGCCAATAAACACAAGAAAATCAAAGAATTAGAAGCAGAAGAGCAACCAGAAAGAAAGCTTGCAAGACTTTCCTTAAGAAAAGGAAGTTGTTGACATATCACAACTTACAAACCATTGCAGAGAACAGAGCAAATGGTAGACTTTGCTTCACTCAGACCAAGTACACAACTCATCTAACCGCAATTGCTGGGCCTACCACATCAAGGAGCAAAATTATTTGTTACATGTGTGGGCAATTGCTGGGCCTACCATTTCAAGGAGCAAAACTTTTGGTACATGTGTGGTGCAAACACTTCTTATTGAATGTGTAAACTGTGTGGAGTCAATATGTGTAACACTGTCAGTAACTTGAAGAAGAGGGATTGTAAGTTCTGTCACAGCAACTATCACAGCTATGCTGAATGGTTTGGTCTTGGCTGTTCCAATGTGAGGAACAACAAGAGAGCCAAAGATAGGAGTAACTGGAACCCTCCAAGCAATGAGGAGTTGAGAGTTTACTCTGAGTACATGAAATACTTATTGGATATTGAGGATTAGGACAGCAGCAATACTAGTGCTAGTAGTAGAGATAACAACAATCTTGTTTTTTTGCCAAGCAGAGCTGACACGAATGTGAACAGTGAACTCACTGAACTCACACTCCCAACTGCTTATAGTACTAGAAGTACTGAGCTCAGCACAGTTGGTGGTACTGGAGCGATTGGACCAATGGAAGCAGTGTAGCAAACAACTTTAAATATGGATAGATCTATTAGCTAGTCTAGTACTTTAAATCTGAATACATCTATGCTTATTTGGTTGCTCCTTTACCTGCTGATTTGGACAATGCTGATTTGGTTGCTGATTCTGTCAATGCTAATCCAGATGCTGATTTGGTTGCTGCTTTAGCTGCTGATTTGGTTCCTCCTTATGTGCTCCTTTACCTGCTGATTCAGATGCTGATTCTGTTGCTCCTTTAGCTGCTGATTTGGTTTCTGATTGTGTTTGGGTGCTTCTTGTTATCCATTGTTGCAGGATCTGGATCCTTCCTACTACTACTAAGCAATTGCATACTGTGCTTGCTTGTTGTCTCCTCCATTGAAACTACCATCAGATCTGTAGAACTTCTCATGCTAGTACTCATCATTGTAGTTGTCTGAATCCCAGCAAGAGAAGCTTTGATTCATACTATTAGGATTCCCCCACTAACCTGAAGCTAGGGACAATCCCCCACTAACCTGAAGCTGGGGACAAACTATAAATGAACTTAGTAAAAAAATGCCAATTGGAGAAGAAACTTTTAAACCAGACAAAAAATATGAATTTGGAAATGAAACAGGGCTAGCTATGGATGGTGGGGAATGTAGAGGGCAGCGACGCAGTTGCACACATTTTTGGGGTTGAAATTTGCTATCACACACGACACAAAAAGTGAAAAAAATTATTGGTCCATTTCACAAAATTTGTGTAACGTAGAGATGGAGAAAATTGTGGTTGCCATCTTGCAGAAAGTTTGTACATAGTGCCACTAACTCCACTAGAGGCCCTCCAAATGCTGCAACTGAGATAGCTGCTACTTTGGCATGGAATGACACAGAGGAACAGTCAAGGGAAAAATACAGCAGAGTTAAGACACATATGCATGGGGGTAAAGCATACCCAGCTCTTTCGACTTGTCTATCCCCCATAGTAATCTGACCCGTGGTTATGGAGATACCACCTGTCTCAATAGACATGGCTGAAAATTAACAAATTTTACCCATTTTACGCTGCTGTTTAAGGATAACAGTAGTAACTAGAACATGAGCTATAATGACAACAATATTCAGCAGCCTTATTGAGCAAAGTAAGAGCTTTTTGTTCTTACCCTTCTTATGGTCAAGGGTGCTCTGGTTGTAGAGATATCAGTCTCACTACATTGAAGATGGTGTTTAAGCGATAAAATGAAAACATCCATTGGAGTTTGGTAGACATTTAACGGTGAACGCATTCTATATCCGTTTAACTGGCACGTGCTGATGACTGTGCTTGTTATCAAATACTGAATCAGAAAAGAATCAAATTCAAAATCATACTTCGACACGCAAAACAATTATCACCCTCAACTTTCTCGGAGGCTGATGGACGGAAATTTGGTATCGGGATGCAACCATTCCGTCCAATTCATTTCTAGTTCTCCAATCCTAGGTTGATACATCTTCTTTCTTTTCGTAGATGAGAAGCCCAATCGGAAATTTTTCTCAGTTTTTCGTAGATTTGCTCGAACAATTTCGTACCGCTTGCGACTCAAAGGTAAGATATCTTGCTGTAGACGATCGAGAAGGCCGTTCACAGGTATTCCCAACAGAATCAAGTGCAAATCTTCCGGCTGGATGGCGTTGCTACAGGCAAGCCGCGCCAACTTTTTTGCTGCCGAATGGACTGTGTCGTTCCAATGATCGCCCCACTTCTTTTTCGCCACTATTGTTAACAATCGCTCAATAAACAAAGCTCTCCTATGGAAGGCACAGAAATCGGATCCCGCTCTAAGGTGTTCTTCAAGTTCTTGCCAATCTTCTTCATCCAAACAGACAGGCGAACTTCGTGATCCAAAGCCCTCTTGACAAACTATGCTCGCACAACACTCTTCGTCCGGAATCACTCTATCCAACTTATCTTTCCATGAATCCCTCTCCAACAATGGCGACGAGCCAAATCCTAGATATCCGTATAGGTGTGCTAAAGCATTACTCAAGAGTGAGGAGAGCTTGTCATCGTCGAACGTAGAGCAACTGGAGCCATCGTCGTCGATGCTTGTGCTAATCTCGATGCTGAATTCTTGTTCATCCGATTGATTGGTTAGACGTACACAATCATACAATCTTGAGTTCCATTGATCGGTTTTTGTCTGAAGATCAGATCGCTCGGGGATAGGATTCATAAGGGTGCGAAGCCAATAGCGAACGAGTTGCGCAGAGGTGTTTGCTAGTCTGTGTTCCCAAGAAAGAGGTCGAATGCGGATGAATTCCTCCAGCGTTCTGATTGAAACTGGAACGACTAATTCGTCATTGTCCGCCCTTGGTTCTCTTGTCATGGCAACGGGTAGAAGTTTCTTCACCGTTTTCCCTTCAGGGTGTAACAGCGAATTCAAATCCCTGGAATACGCATTAGCTGCCTTCTGTATTCGCTCGATAGGAATATTTTGATTTTCAATTGCAATGAGGGATTTTGCACAAATCTTGTCGTGATGCTGACTTCTGAATTCGTTGTTGAGGTAGAAAACAAAATCACGCACAGACCTACTTGCAGCACAATATTTGCTCTTGGGTAATGACGAAGCCGAACATATTGCTCGTGGAAAGAGTTCTTCCACAACATCCAACAAATCCGTCAACGCTGTGATGCAATCATCTTGAGGTTTGTAGGAGCCTTCAAGAACATCGGAGGGTGCCCTCACCACTGCTGAATCGTCAAACGCCGCAAATTGGACTCGACGCTTTCGTTGGTGCTCACCATTCTGACAGTTACTGATAGCTTTCGCAAGAGCAGAATTGGCCGACGACGTGGCAGCCGTAGGAGACGGTATGTTTTTCCCTTCCTGTTCGTCACGATGTTCGTGGCCTGCCAATACGGTCCATTCTAAATGGACCAATTTATTGAGTAGATTATGTATTGGATAAAGAGATTCTGCCGCTGTCGCCTCTTCTTGGTCCGCAGTGGAATCTTTCCGACATATTTTGGTGGGTCGGTCGACGAGATCGTTCGACATTAACAATGAGTCATCATCATTTACGAACAATTTCAGCCTAGCATGATGCTGTCGTCGCTGAGAGTCCCTATACATGGTATAGCATCCGATCAATCTTGGAAGAATGCACGGTGGAGGCGGAGAGCCGAAAGTTACAATGCTGCGTTGAATGTTCCTTGGCCGACGTCCGGCCCTTCCAACAACCCGAGAGAACTGTTTGGGGAACAATTCCTTCAATCGATTGCCCAAGGCTTCTAAATCCAACTCTACTTGCTTGGGTGGCGAAGACAAAAGCGATGGTGCTATTCCCTTGGAAGAGTCGCACGTTTTCGTAGGCGAACTCGTAGATGCTGCGAACGCCAGAAGACTTTCAAAATGACAATTGCTTGTTGGATCGACCGCATCTGCTTCCCGTGTCGTTCCATCGTACACATATCCTTCCTTAGCCGGAGCGCACCTCCTGCGAAGAATGCTCGTTGGGGTTTGGCCGTTGCTGTGAGTAGTACGGCATCTTTCCATTTGAGCAGTAGACAGCGGTGGCGATCGCACCGACAGACACTGTTTCGAGATCCTGGAACATTCAGAATCAACTTTGGTGACCATAGGAGATGAAAAGCACTCCGAAGAAGACGAAGCAGGTGTTTGTGGTTCGATAGAAATGCCTTCGGCAGCACGGTCTTCCTTCTCGCAAGCATCGCGAGACGAAACCGAACTTCGGAGCGACGCAGTTGCGTTCTCCTTCTCCACCACTTCTCGGTTTGAAAATACATTGTTTTCGCTCTTAGCGCCAGTGTTCCGAGATCCTATTTTTCTGGCAATCGTCTTGTTCTTTCCCGAGATGGCGTTTTGGCTATCGATGTTGCTCATATCCGCAAATTTGCGATTGGACTTTCGTTTTCGGTGCGAACGGCGAATCGGTGTATTTTCTTTATCGCCTAAAGCTTCCAGAATCTCACTTGAAGGATTCACAGTTGTCATGCTTGGTGCCTTTCTCCTAGCGTTATCGATGCCAATATTCTTGAAGAAGCTTGGATGTTTCTGGTTTTGATTAGCACGTAGAGTCGCTTATCATATGAAGCAGCATTTTTGAGTAGAAGTACTTTTAATTACAGCATTCACTAGTCACGCTCAAAATTTCAGCCGCACTCCATACCAGTGTCTATCTACATTGGTACGTACGTACTGACTGTACTAATCACAAAGCCGTTATGCAGCAACGTGCACTTTCATTGGTCCATGAAACGATTTTTAAAAGTTCGGCATGCGCGCGCCAAAAGAAAAGAGATGAATCGTAACAACAATGCGCATTCACTCTGCGCACGAAATTTATTCTGCCCGTATTCAACCCATACGAGGTTGGAAGGCAAATGTGTGGACCGAATCTACATCAGGTTATGAGTACAATAAAACGCGCCAGTTTTTAGCTGTGAGCTGCAAACTTTGCTTGCTTGTTAATGCTAGCAAAGTACCAATCAGATATCGAGAATCCGTAAGTCGGAAAGAGCTTTCTTTTCTCTTCACAACCATGTGCACATTGCTATGTGAATTTTGAAGAGAACWMTTTCBRGCTTGTTGATTTCTCTGCGCACCGAAAAACTCGAAAAATCTCATTTAATCAAACTCATCATAGGGACCTGTCACACCCATTACACTGAGCATTCAACACACTCTCCAGCCCACACACCCACCGGAATAACTTCATTATAACGAGGGGAAGGGGATCCGGAAGTAGCGGATCGATCGACCGAGTGGTTTACAAGAAACAGTACATCCAAGCTACAGCGAAAAATCGTCGTGAAAACAGCAACGACAAACTCCATAGTGTAACAAAAAAGAAACTGTCTTCCCCTCCATAACAGAGACAACCAGTGTCCGTAACGTCCTTAATACATCAAAGGAGACTTGATCCGGAAGTATCGTCGCAATCGACCGGGTATTTTGAAAGAAAAAGCAGTTTTTGCTGTATTTTCCCTGTATTTGGCTGCAAAATGAGCAATAAGAACAACAATAGCAAGCCAGCGCCTGCAGTGGAAGGAACCCTACAGGAATCTGCATCTGCACCCGCACCACGCGAATTGACGGCAAGGACATTGGAGAGGATGGGTTTGATTGGTGCTGGGGGTAGTGCAAGCAGCGCCACCACCACAAGCAGAAAGAAAAATCAGCAGGAAGATGGCAAAACAACAACAGCAGCAACAACAACCACAACAGCAACCATTGCTGTTGGTGCTATAGCAAATGGGCTTCCTGTTGCAGCATGCGAGTGCACGAATACCGCAGCATACGCGTTGATGATTGGTAACATGGGGAACCAGCAGTGTACAGCCAAGAAGGCAATGCTCTTTGCCAATTTCACTGAAGAAGAATCCAGCAGCCGAGCCCTGCAGAGGAGGGTAATGAGATGGAGGGATAAGCTTCAGCTGCAAATGGCTGCTGGGATTATTCCCCCCCCCCCCCTACCACAACACATTGAGTTGACTTCACCACCACCAGCTGTATCAGGCCTCACAGGAAGTACTGGTGTCAGTGCAGCTGTTAGCAGCAGCAGAAACACCACCAGCAACAACACCAGCAGCAACAACGCTAGTACCGAAGACAACGGCACTGACAACAATGGTGATGCTGGTTCTGCCGATGAACCTCCGAAGAAAAAGAAGCGTAGGCCTCCTAGGACGGCACAGTATCTCCATGCGGAGAAACTTCAGAAGTAGAATGAAACTAAACTAAAAGATACGGCTTACCTCTCTGTTGCAAAAAAATCAAACATGAACGTGCACTTGGAAATCTGACGAACGTATCAGCAATGGTTGCTCAAGTCAACAAGCTTTACAACGTTGAACTCAGTGCAGAGACAGTTTGGCAGCGCCTGAATTCAGGCCTGGAAAATATTCCACCACGTTGGAATTCAGGACGTCCTTCAGCTTTGCCTGCAGTGATTGAGGCGGCACTAGTAGATGCAATTTCTTCATACATTAATCTCAGATGATCAGAGATGGAAGAACAACCTAATCAAAAGACACGTCACAAAAAGTGTTCCCGACCCCTCACATCC